CCCCCCCTCAAGCCAACGCTTCATCCTCAGGCATCATGGGGTATCTTTATTCTCCATCCCTCCTGCCAGCATCATTGACCACAGCATCTTCACACCACCAAGATCAGGGCCCTGCAGTGCTGGGGGCTGTACGTACAGTAAGGGAGAGACAGTGCCAGACTAAAGGAGCTTTCAGTCTAGGTGGACAGAAGGGAAAAGGAGAGGCACAGTGGAAGTGACTTGACCAAGGTCACCCCGGAGGTCTGTGGCAGAGCCGGGAACAGAACCCAAGTGTCCCTGCTCCAATTGTCCTTCCCCCCCTACCAGTCCCTGCTGCCTCTTCTTCACCCATTGCTTTAATGTGTGCTCACTCTTCCTGCTGGGCCTCCACTCAACAGCAGCCAAGGTTATTCAGACCATAGAGGGGACAGGCGGGGGTAAGGATCAGCTTCCACACAACAGGTACCGATTTCCCTCAAGGCTGCACATACTCGGGGGACCAGAGACCAGTTGGGACCACGTGGCCACTTCCCCCAAAAGGACGTAGCCTGCAGGAAATGTGGGAGTTCCCTCCTGACACCCCCAGGGAGCACTGAGGTTGGGGCCCAAAGGCAGCAAACAAACAGGGACAGTTGGGAGGCTCTGCTCAGGCTCCCAGCTGCAGAGGCACACCCCAGCCCAGGAGGACAACGCTAGAGAGGAGCAAATCAGATGGGCAATTCGCCCCCTCACCTACCACACACTCAGTCGCCGCCTCCAAGGAAGTCTCCGCCATGCCAATTAATACTGGTTGGCACTCACCGGCTTGTTTACATGTTGCATCCAATTAGCCGTGAATCTGGCATTTCAGACGAGCGTGCAAATTGGAGCCGCCCGACTCGGGCTGTTCCCCCTGCTGGGCCCTCTACACGGTACAGCCCTCTCTGAATTAGGGCCCCAGAAGCAGCCCCAAATCCAGGCTGCACCCAGGTCCTGGACCTCTCCCTCCCCATGATCACCAGGCTGCGTATTTCAGGCCCACCAGGATCTCCCTGAAGGGAGCTGGGGTTGCTCCTTCCCAGCTCAGCTCTTTGGCAAGGCAAGGCAAAGCAAGGCGCTGCATACTTAGCCATGGCCCACACAGGGCATTTCCACCCACTGCTAGAGCACAGCCTCAGCAGCAAAGGCACATGCTCACTCTGAAGACTAGGAAGGATAGGCGAGTCCCACAGCTGATGCAGCCTCACATGGATGTAACTTCACCAGTCAGCCCCCACCCACGTGCTCCACCACCCCTGGCCTTCATCCACTTTGCCATGTGGATTCTTGGGCTGAGAAGCAACAGGGGGAATGAGATTACAGGGAGCCCTGGCTGCTGCCTTGATGCCCAGATCACTGGAGTTGCTGTCCCTGGCACCCAGGGTCAAGGCCATGTGGGCAGGTTGGTGGCAGAGTTCCCTCACCACCACCTTCTGTGCCACGCTGCCCATCGTACAGTGCCATCACCACTGCCACTAGCTGCCTCCTGACCACTTGTGCATGTGCTCTCACAGTCCCCTCAGGGAGGCAGGACTAAGCAAAGGGAAACCAAGGCACTGAGCAGAGCAGTGGTTTGGCCAGGAGACCTGGGGCAGAACAAGGAAGCGAGCCTGAACCTCTCGGAACCGGCTTGCGCTCGGCCGCCTCCACCCCATCTCTACGTCTCACAGCACAGGGGATCCCGACCTTCTCCCTAGCATTATCTGCCTTCCAGCCTGAGGTCTTACAAACCCCAGCTCCACCTTAAAACAGCTCGGAGCCCTGCATTTTTCAGCTTAAGGGAGCCCCAGCTGGGCTCTTGCCAGGTCCCGAGATGCACCAGGATGGAGGAGGTCTGCAGCATGCTCTTTGCAAGGATTTGGATGCTTCCCCTTTTGCCATGTGGGCCCTGGCTAGGGCAGCATCACAGGCCCTGGAAGCCTTCCCAGGCCCCTCTTGCAGCTGACGGTCTCTCCCCTCTGGCAGGGGTGTTTGTTTGTGTGTGTGTGTGGGGGGGGGGGGGGGGGGTTGTCCTCAGTTGCACTGGGCTTAGGGATGGAGAGAAGACAAACAAAGTCCTGTCCTTTGCTACCCAGCTGCCGCACCCACAGGAAGGGGCTGGCGATGGAGAGCAGGGAGTGCCCCACCCTCCGGGCACAGGCTGGCGGAGCACGTGGCAGCGGGGCCCAGGGAAAGGAAAGCCAGCTGAGTGAAGTCATCCTGGGGTCTCCCTGCAGGGATGTTCCCTGGCAGCCTGGCTGGGAGTGGTCCCCGCCCAAGTCTCCTACAGGATGGGAAAAAAATAATGGGGTTTGACTCATGGCTGGGTCAGGGCCCAGGGTGCGGGCGGAGAGGATGAGCACATGCACCAGCCCGCTGCGGGGAGGGAGGGCAGCCAGACAATGAGACCCGTGGCCTCCTCACAAGCTCAACCATATGCTGGGAGCCCTCAGAGCCCCCTCATGTCCCCCCAGATACCCAGTCTGTGCCACAGAGTGCAAAATGCCCTGCTCAAAGCATTTGTAAATCGTCCTTCAGCTCCTAGCAGGGGCACTGGGGACAGCCAATACCTACACAGGCAGGCTAAGAGCAGATAGGGTTACTTCTCTGAGCCAGGCCGCACACCCACTGTGCCGACTGGGACAATCGAGGCACTGCCATGTCGGCCTCACGGCAATACGTGGCCACATGCACCAGCTCCTCTCTCACCGCCCCTGTCTCCCCTCATACTTGGTTCATCACAGCTATTCTCCTCTCGTGGCACTGGCCTGTGCCCTGCCAGGCAGGGAGCAGGGCTGTCCCCTATGCCCTCTGCCCATGTGGGAGATTAGAATGAAGCCAGCTCACTGCTGCTCTGGGGGCAAAGCAGAGCAAAACTTAGACCACCAACCCCCCAAGAGTGACTGCAGCTGGGCACCCTCAGAGCAGGTCAGCAAGCTCAGGGAAACCAGGACATGATTTTTTTAGGGGCCTCTAAAAGAGACAGGCACCTGCTCCCACTGATCTGTCCATCTCTATGTACAGCAGCGAGCACAAGAGAGCCCCAATCTCAGTTGGGGCCTTGAGAACTGAACACAGTGGAAAAGCATTTAACTCCTCGGAAGCTCTCCTAGCCCGTGCCAAATCCCTGGTCTTGGGCCCATTACAGTTGAAAGAGAACAAAACACAAGGTTCAAAGGGGTGAATGCTATAGAGAGAAGCCCCAAAATGAGGCACTCAAATGGCAAGTACCTCCTCCTAGGCTGTGCCACCCTCAAACATGGGTACACCACAGGCAGGGGGGTCACTTATCTTTGTGTGGAAAATGAGCTGGAGGCCTTGGAAAGCTAGAGGGGATGTCAGGAGGAATAAAAACAAGACGATTTCTGCTATGCCCCTTCCAGCCCCTCACAGCACTGATCCTGGCTGGGTGAGCTAAGTGCCTCTTCCAGGCTCAGACAGCAGCAGCTTGGTACCAGACGCTGGTTCTTCATCCCTCCCTATGCCCTTGCCATGGCTTCCCTCAACCCCTTGCAAAGACTTCTATCCTCCCCTCAGCCTCCACTGCTCCCCTGGGATGGACTTTGGTGGACAAAGCAATGGCCTCATTTGGAGAAGCGAAGGGTAGAGTGGGCCCCGACAGTACTGAGAGGAGGTGCCCAGACAGAGCAACCAGCCTTATGCTAACGGTCCCCAATTACAGGCTCAGCCTCTCAGCTGGGCATCCTCAGGCATCACAGGGCATCTTTATTCTCCATCCCTCCTGCCAGCATCATTGACCACAGCATTATCACACTGCCACCAAGATAAGGGCCCTGCAGTGCTGGGGGCTGTACATACAGCCAGAGGGAGAGATGAAAATGGTGACTCTGGAGCCGTTACCACAAGTGGGTGAATCCAGGCAGACATACATCATCCAGGGGAGATGGGGAAGAGAGACAGGTTCTCAAAGTGACTCGCTGAACAAGCCCTTCCTGCTGCACAGCATCTGTCACACACAGCTCCCCACCACCCTCAGCCTCTTGGCCACCATGAAGGGGTCATGCTCCCAGCAACGTGTGGAAGGTTAATGTCACAACCGTCAACCTCATGGGACAAAGGAGGAGCTGCTGGGGGAGGGAAAAGGGGTGACAAATAGGCCCGCGTGTCAGCAAGAGAACTGCTGCAGAGGGTGAAGAGCTGAGCTACCTGTTGTTGCAAGGCAACATCACCCCGTGACAATGAGATCCCTACTTGTCTCCCCATCTCTCAGGAGCATCACTGGCTGGCTGGTGGGCTGTCGTGCCCCTGCTAGGTTGTTTCCCCTGGAGCTTACAGAGATGGGCACAGCATGGGATGCATTTGCAAACTTGGATAGGAAGGAAGAAACTCAAAATGGTTCCCGCTCCTACATCCCTTGTACTAGAGAAGGGACTGAACTTGGCTGCAATGGTATCAGGGAGTGACCCAGGCATAGGTTATTGGGCAAAGATAGATAGCTTGACATGCTATCCTCAGAGCCTGAGTTCTGGCCAGGCCTCAACAGCAATGTAAGGGGCTGAGCTGGACCTTCAACCACCCCTTGAGATAAAATCAAACTCTCATCAGGCAAGGAGTCATCCTGAGTCACGCTAGGATATGCATGAGCTGGTCTCAGCACAGATGGGAACAAGCTCTCTTGTGAACTATGTCCACCTTCCACCGACAGTGTTCACAGGTCCAACAGTGAAACACCAGGGCTGGACTCTAGCGCTGGATGGAGCATCCAAGCAATGACCTGGGTGGGTTCAGCATCCTTGGGGTGCATCTTACTGCTGCCAAAAAACAGCCGGATGCTCAGGAAGGAAAGACTGTGCTAGGGACAGCTGTATCCATTTCCAACTTATGGACCAATTTTAGCCTACAAGGACATTCACCTGCCCCAAAACCTCCCCAGGCTCCCCTGCCCCAGCCAGAGACCTTCTGTTGCAATGCAGGGGAAAAAAAGAAAGCAGAAGGTGCAATGTGGGGAAGGAGGGAATCTGGATGTGTCCGTTTCCTGGCAGCCTGTGCTGCTTGGCTGAGATTCAGAAGGACAAAAAGGTGCCCACGGAGGGCTGCTATATTTTATACGTCAATGCTGAAGGTCTCTGAGGACTATTTCTATCAGCATAATAGATTCTGTAATTTCCTCTCATTACTCAGGAGAAAGTTTCCATGCTAATCCTAGGTCTGCAGCACAGCTTGGCTAATGCATCTCCGTCTTGGCCTACGGCTCTCCCTGTTATTCCAGCCCTGGAACACTCCCCTCTTCCATCCCACCACAGGGCTTAGAAGATGCCGCTTCCCTGTCTGGACAGGAAAGAGCACACAAAAGCCTCTCCGGTTACATCCCTTTGATCCCAGCAGAAATCGGAGGCACAGAGGCTTCCACAAAGGGTGAAAGACAGGAGGAATAAAAGCTGCGGAGAAGATCTGATCCTAGAAACAGTCGGCTCTTCTTACTGCTGTTCAACCTGGCTTCTCATCCATGCTTAATCATCTCCCTGTCCCACGAATACTTGAGGGTGGGCCTGAGCTGTGGAGAATGGTTTGAATTCCCTAGAGGCTTACAGTTTTGCGGCTCAGACCCTCAAGCAGCCCTGTGAACTTTTGGTGAGGGTGGGAAGGAATAAATTAACTGGTAATCTCAAGAAATATTCCAGAGGCTGGTTTCTTTTTTCAAACTGCCTCTAGCATGGTTGAGGGCTCTTTGTACCCCAAATCCATCTTAACCTATGGCTGGGTGCCAAGTTGATGCATGTTGGGTTGGATTTCCTAAGGGACTCGGCACCTGCAGCTTCTATGGACTTCAGCTGGAAGGAAGACATGTCGCTCTGAGCTCTCAAATACCAAAGTGCCCCCTGACCTGCGCCCCCCCCCCAATATCAGTGGAAACGTTGGCTTCGCTAGTTCCCAGTGAGAAGATTAGACTCTTTTCTACAGTGCATCGCTTTATACTCTTCCAGGGTGCACTGGGCTATCCACCCTGGGCTGATAGGCAAAACTATTTGTAGATCATGGAGGCTAATAAGTCACCACATTGCTGTGGTCTGGATGAGTCGGGCCTTGTGCAGGCTCCTTTGTGGAATGAATGGACAACAGGTGACTCTTGGAGACCCAGCAAAAGCCCTTGGCTTGAGCAAAATGGTAGAGACCATGCTGGTGCCTATGGTTTCCTACCCAACTGGGGGGAGAGGCCTGCTTGTGTCAGGGCCATTAAACATGAAAAAAAGCTGTTTTACTGCAGGCAACAAAAATCTCAGCTTAGCAAGGCACTAAGGACAGGGTTTGGGTGGGAGAAGAGCAAGGAGCTCACAAAAGGCATAGGGCCTACTACCTCAGCCCATTGAGCGTCACCTCAAACTCACAAGTCTGCGCCAGGTGATGGGAGAGACCACTGGAAATAAACCCAAGTGAGAGCAGCGCAAGAGCTGCGTGGGACGGAGGAAGTCTGGGCCTGGGAAAGGAGGGAGAGTCAGCAGACGAGAGGGCTGAGGATTAGGGCAGTCGCTCTGCAGCTGTCCCCTGCCAAGAGCACTCAGGCCAGGGCACAGCATGTGGGGTGCACCCCCCATCCCAGGCCCCTGCACGTGCGCCTAGTGCTTGGCAGGGGAAACATGTCCCTTTGTGATCTGGATTTGGCATTTCCACCAGGACACCCCCCTCCCTTCTCTAATTACATCCCTATATTGTCTTCCCCCCCCCTTCCCGTTCCCGGTCACAGCTGTGAAATATGCTAATCCAGCTCTTACACCAGAAAATGAGAGCGCTAATAATAACAGCCGGCAAGTTTTCAAAGCAAAGAAAGAAACCCATGCCTGTTCAGAGCCTCCGCCAGGCTAACAGCTGCCAGTCCTGCTGCCTACCCATCCAGGGTCACCGCGCCAACCCAGCCAGTCCACAGCCAACGGGTATTTAGCAAGGGTTCTCCTCCCTTCTAGGAATCCTTGCTCAGTCCATTTCACTGGTATTAAAAAGGCCTCTTTCTATTGTTTTCCACCCTATTCTCATCACCACCATCCACCCTGAATGCACTGTGGCTGTCCCACCCTGCTACTAGCCTCAGCTGCAGGTCTCACTGCAATCTCTGTGGCTAGGAAGTAAAAAAAAAAAATTAATTGCATTGAACCATTGCAGCAGCACAGCACCATGAAGCACGAGCCTGCCCTGTGAGACAAGCTAGAGTCAGCAGGCACCCCCA